TTAGCTCAGTGGTTCCACTGCCCGCCTTGAAAGCGTAAGGACCTGAGTTCGATCCCCAGTACCAAAAAAAAAAAAGAGGCTGAGGCAGGAAGATCGCCAAGTTCAAGAGTTTGAGGCCAGCCTGGACTACATAGTGAGTTCAAGGACCCTGTCTCAAAAAAAAAAAAAAATTATTATTCTAAAATTACCTTTTAGTATAATGTTGCTTAAATATAACCAAATGCAACTCTATGCATTTAACTCTTAAGCAACTATAACCCAAATAAATCTACATTATTTAATACAAACTAAATTACACTAGAAAATTAAATTGACACTAATTTACTATGATGGCTGATGGTATTTTGCCAAAACTAAGTTGCCTCTCCTATTATGGGTTTGACACAATTTGGGTTTGCCTGCTTTAGAGCAGGCAAGTTCTTTTGCCTTTGGCAAGTTTGTATTATCTTGGTCAGAGAAATGACTCAATTATAAAACTTTAATTATATTCATCACTTGGCTTATGTATTCTCAGTTTATTTAGACTTTTTAAAACTCTGAATATTTATACCTGCCATTTATTTAAAAAATATTTTTAGCTGAGTGTAGTGGTGCAGGCCTGTAATCCCAACACTTAAGAGGCTGAGACAGGAGGATCACTGTGAGTTTGAAGCCAGCCTGGGCTACACAGAGTTCAAGCCCAGCCTGAATGACATAGCAAGATCCTGTCTCAACCCTCCTGCTCACAAAAAAAATCTGAACACAAACAAAATTTGTTCTGATTGCCTGGAATTCCTGCCATGGGCTCCTTTCAGGCTGACTGCCCCTCACATCTTCTCATATTTTACCCTTCCTCCCTTAGTTCATTTAATGAACACTGTTTGCATTGATTGAGGGATCCAGGATAGGCCATGGGATGTGCTGTGAAGTGAAATAGGACAATCCTTACCCTCAGACATCTTCTATTCTAATAGAAAATTAAGTATACAAATAGTCATAATTATGGTTAACATAATAAATACATCAATATTCATAATTTAACTGCCGGCAGATACTTTCACCAAAGGTAATCACAGGTTCCTGTGATTAGAGCCTGATTAGCTTTGGGAACATTTTTCTGTCTGCTCAAGATGGGGATCATTGGAAACCCACATCTGAGGGAGGACCACAGATGTTCCTATTTGTCACCCGAGCAGCCTGCTGACCACTAGACTACGCTGTATTCAAAATCCTACCCCTGCGCTTTCTCCTGCTCCCCAACATCTCACTCGCGTAACTACCGTGGACCAGTCTCTTGCTTGTAAATTGAGTCAGACTGGCTGACACTCTTCATAATGAACATTACTAACCAAATGGCAGTAGTGGGCTGTACATCTTTGGGGCTGCTCTTTCAGCCCACGAGGTTCCTATTTGTTCCAAGTGGCAGCTGACTACTAGGGCTAAGCTTCTCTGTCCCCACCTAAGGGGGTGGCCCCCAGGGTGATGTTCATAGTGTGTGACTACAGCCGACTAGATTGGAGTGGGCACCTAAGAGGGCCCAATCAGATTTTGTTCTGGGACTTGGCACCTGGACCTAGACTGTTTGCTTCATTTCTGGCCTTGAAATACGTTGCTCATGTGGCCCTGAAGTGCCATGTTTTGCGTAAAAGAAGCCAGAGACAGAGCCAAATGACCTTGAGGACTCAGAAACTGAAAGTACACCTGCCCTGGTCCCTGAGAGCTTGTTTGGAGATTCCAGCCATGCAGCTCAGCTGCTCCTGTACCCTTGATGGAAGAATAGCCCTCTTCTATCAGGGAGGGTCGTTCTCTTCCACCAAGCACACAGTTTCGTGAGGGATACACATGGACCAATGAGAGAGGAAGGGACCCCCCCCCCAACCGCCCAAGACAGATCAGCCACATCAACTGTTTTGTTTTGTTTTTTTGGGGGGTACTGGGGATCGAAGTCAGGACCTTTCGCTTGCAAGGCAGGCGCTGGAACCACTGAGCTAAATCTCCGGCCCCCACATCAACTCTGTGTAATGAGGGGACAGATGTCACAGCCAGATCACCCTTGCATCTTGCCTTGGTACTTTTCATTTTTTGTGGTATTGGGAATAGAACTCAGGACCTTACACATGCTAGTGCTCTACCACTGAGCTACCCTACTTGTTTTTTTTGTTTATTATTATTATTATTATTTTTGGTACAGGGATCGAACTCAGGACCTTGTACCTGCAAGGTAGGCATGGTGCCACTGAATCCCCACTAAATCCCCAGCTGTTTTTTATTAATATATATTTGCCATACAAAATGATCACATTCATCATAGGGAATTTGTACCTGTACATGATATACCTTAATTTTTTTCCCATTCCCCTCCCTTCCCTTCAACCCATTTACAAAAGCTTTGTTTCCATTTTTCCCTTCCAACCCCCCCCTTCCCCTTCCCATTTGTACATGTTCTTCCTACTTCCTGCTATAGATCCTCCATTTTGCTCAATGAAATGGCATTATTCTGAGACAGTTTAAATGAGGCAGAACTTTTTAAAACTGAAAATAAGTTTTACCACAGTTCTTCAAATGTTTTTATTGGATTTAAAGTTCATTTAAGGGATATACAGATATACAAGAGAAACAATGCAATATTTAAACTTGTGTGTCTGATTTATTTCACTTAAAATTATGGTTTGAGGTGCATCCATTTACCTAAAAATGACTCAAGTTTATTCTTTTTTATGGCAGAGTAGTATTCTACCGTGTACAAATACCTTATTTTCTTTATTCATCTGTTGATGGGCATATGGGCTGTTTCCAAGATTTAGGTACTACAAACTGTGCCACTATAAACATGGATGTGCATGTATCACTGTAGCATGACACTTTTAATTCTTTTGGGAAGATAACTAGAAGGGGGCACAGCTGGGTCAAATGGAACCTCTTGTTTTAGTTTTTGAGGAATTGCCACACTGATTTCCACAGTGGTTGTACCATTCCCACCAACAGTGGAGAAGGGTTCCTTTTTCCTTATAGCCTCACCAGCATTTATTATTGGTTGATTTCTTGATAACAGCCATTCTTTCTGGAGTGAAATGGAATCTCAGTATTAATTTGCATCTCTGGAATGACCAGTGATATTGAACATTTTTCATATATTTATTTGCTGTTTGTACTTTTTTATCTGAGAAATGTCTATTCATTTCAGATGCTCATCTTTGGATTGGGTCTTTTAAATTTGGGGAGGGTCTGAATTTTTTGAGTTCTTTATATATTCTATTAAATTTTTTTTTTTTGTACTGGGGATCAAACTCAGGTCCTTGCGCTTGCCCAGCAGGCGACAAAACCACTGAGCTAAATCCCGGGCCCCGTGTTCTTTATATATTCTAGATGTTAATCCTTTGAAGAGTAGCTGGTAAAATTTTTTTTTCCCATTCTGTGGGTTGTCTGTTCACTCTGCTGGTGGTTTCTTTTGCTGTGCACAGTTCCTTGGTTTTTATTTTTCGAGACGGTGTTGGTGTGTAATTCACACTGGCCTTGAACTCATGGTGATTCTCCTGCCCCAGCCTCCCAAGTGCTGGGATTACAAGTGTGGGCCACCAGGCCCAGCTCCCTCCTTGGTTCTTAATGGGTTCCCTAGTTAGAGACCCAAGTGAAGCATGGCTACATTTCAGCTCTAGGTTGAGAGAATTGTCCTCCCTGTTTCCCCCTTGTCCTGATAGTAAAAGTAAATTTCTCCTTTTGCTTAGGAGATCTGAGTGGGTGTCTGCTCTTGGGCTAATTGATTAAAATTGGGTAATTTTTCAAAAGATTCTCCTAAAACCTCAAGAAGTTGCCCGTGATGATTTTTTTTTTTTGGTACGGGGGATCAAACTTGGGTCCTTGCGCTTGCGGTGAAACCACTGAGCTAAATCCCCGGCCCCCATGATGATTATTACTTTCTGAAAATTTCCTACATATCACAATGATTAGATAAGCAAATAAGCACAATTTTATGATAACTGTTTTCACTTCATAAGGTAGCACAGAAGACACTTTAGGGATGTCTAATTCAACCCCTTTACTTTCTTTTGCAGTTTTTGTTGTTCTTATTTTTGTTTTTTGAGTCAAGGTCACACTATGTAGTTCAGACTGACCTCAAACTCATGCCAAGCCTCCTGCCTGAGCCTCCAGAGTGCTAAAATGACAGATGTGAGCCACCACACCTGGCTGTGTTACCTCTTAACCATAGGTAAAAAGCATTTTTTTGCATTACTCAGATTAGCCTCAACCTCTGAAGGGTTAAGCCAAGTAATTTGACTCCATCACTTGCAACAAGAGTCTTGTCTAAAACTTGGCTTATTAAAAAGAGCTCTTGGCCAGGGATTTAGCTCAGTGGTTCTGGCGCCTGCCTTGCAAGCACAAGGTCCCAAGTTCGATCCCCAGTATCAAAAAAATAAAAAAATAAAAAGAGCTCTCCACAAATAAGGACAATGGCAAGCAATCATTCTCTCTTTAAAACTTGGGGTTTAAGTGTAGGCACTAAAGCAAAAGCTAAAAGAACACTTGGAAAAGACAGCAAGCAACCCAGGCCATGCTGAAATGAAACACTTGCTCTGCTATCTTGGCCTCTATTCTCTTTCTATGTTGTATTTTGTGCTTAGTCAGAAATTCTGCTTATTTATAGCTGTAGTTTATCCTTGCTCCACCGGTGTTGTGGCCTGAATTGCTGCGTAACATTCTAAAGTGACTTGACCCCAGAATCCTTTTCTTATACACACAAAAATACGTAACTGTCAGCGAAGCCTCTGGGCCTTACCAAGAACAAGATTTCCTCTTAGAACCTGCTTAGGCTCCTCGTGACCTCCTGGGTCCAGAAATGGTGCTATAACTAATGTGGTGACCACGTTTGGGTCAGGATGTGCATCCCCAGGCAGGAGGTGTAACAACACAGTGGAGGTCCTTTCCAGGCAAGTAACTGTGCCTCAAGCTGTGCTGTTAATTAACAGCTCTGGGTCTTGATTCCTGTGCCAATAAAATGGGGGAAGTTACCTGCTTCATTGATTTGTAATAAGAAATGAAATACATGTAAAGTGGCTGGTATGCAGTCAATACTCAATACATATTAGTTCTCTTTCTCCAAATTTTTTTTTGGGGGGTACCGGGGATCAAACTCGGGTCCTTGCGCTTGTGAGGCAGGCGGCGGAACCACTGAGCTAAATCCTCGGCCCTCTTTCTCCAAATTTTAATGTTGTTAACTACATGAAATATAATCCAATTATCATCTTTTGTTCAAATAACTTAAAATGTACACAATGAGAGGGCGTGATTCTAGAGACAGTTTAAATGAGGCAGGATTTTGTAAAAAATGAAAATAAGTTTCACCAGCTCTTCAAATGTTTTTATTGGATTTAAAATTCATTTAAGGGATATACAGATATACAATTGGTTTGATCAGCTACTAATATGTTTTGCTGCCCCTTTATTTTTGTACCCATGAGCCAGTTCACTTTGTCTCCGTGCTCAATGCTCATCTTTGGGGACATCTTGCCGGGCTCTTCTCCGACTGATGATGCGCTGCTGCTGTTCCCACCCTGCTTGGCATAAGCTGCCCTCTTGGTTTTCTTCCTGTGGGTCTGTTTCATGGGACTCTTCTGTTTTTTTTCAACTCCACCGCTCACGTCCCACAGCATTATCTTCCCATCATTCCCTCCAGTGAGCAGCAAATAGGATTCTGGCAGAAAGCAGACCTGGGACACCCCTAGGGTGTGGCCCTTAAATCCCAGTGCTTTTTCACACTTGACTCCCATCACCCTGAAGATTCGCACCTTGCCATCTTCTGCGCCACAGCTGAAAATGTTGCCACATGATGCCACAGAGATGGAGTGGGCGAGGGCAGGGTTTAAGAGCTGGCAGGGGGACTGTGGGCCTTCTGTTTCTTCTGTCTCATCCTCCTGGAGATGTGTGATCCAGAGCGCCCTGGCCTTCTGCAGATTCCACAGTATCACCTTGAAATAAGATGAGGTCACAGTCACACAGAGTTCTAGCCTTTTCCTCAACTACAGTGCTTACTTAGCTTCTAATAAAATCATCAAAGTAGTCTGAGAATGATTGATAGGGCACCTTCCTAGCAGTATTTAAAAACAAACCAACAAACAGAGCTGGGTGTAGTGGCACACACTTGTAATCCCAGCGCTTGCAAGGCTGGAGCAGGAGGATCACAGCAGGTTTAAAGCCAGCCTGGGCTACATAGTGAGTTCAAGGCCAGCCTGAACTACACAGTGAGACCCTGTCAAAAACAACAACAACAACAACAACAAAAAACCCAAAAACCAGAATCACACCAAAAAAGATGCTACCACATATGCCAGCAGAATGCTACCTAAATCTTGACTAAAACCAGAATGCAGACAGGAGTAAAATTGACAAAACAAGATCCTAAATCAGTGATGAGATAAGTGCCCAAACTGCAACCTAAAACCCGCTTATTAATCACAAAGTGCCAACATTGCAACTAAACCTGAATGTTCGGCTGCTGGGGTGATATTGAGGTGATTTGGCTTATGTGCTGACAGGCCTCTGCACGCCATAGATTTGCCACCACTGTCCAAAAATATGATGAATAGACCCTATGAATGTATACTGTTAAGCAGCTGCCACTTTTTCTAAGTGCCTCTCCATTGCAGGTAAAACTGGAGGTTATGGCAAGTGCATTGACATGTGCTTGTAGTTCCAGCTACTTGGGAGGCTAAGGGAGGAAGGTTGTTTGAACCCAGGAGCTTGAGGTCAGAGTCTCAGCAACATAAAGAGAACTGGTCCTAAAATCGTTAATTTTAGTCTATGCTGGTTATAAGTAAAAGGTCTCTTATGAACTGAATAAACTAAATCTGGGATATCACTGAAATTATTTGGAATCTTTTCCCCTTTCCTTTGCTTTCCTTTCTGCTTACCCCGATTTACCCATCCTAGGGGCTTAAACTGTCCATCCCTGTCCCTCCAAGTAGGCTCTCCTAGCCATCCCAGACTACTTCTCCATCTTACATCTAGTGCCTAATGTGAACTGACACATATTACTGGCTTTTCTGCTTCTTGAGATTTAATTTACCTTTGCTAATGCCTAGGACAACCCTGGAATGAGCAAAAATCCCAAATGTGTCTGCAGATTAATGTGACATCCTAGCGTTACAACTGGCTTTTTGTTGTTCTCTAGCATGAGCTTGGAGCTATTAGACTGATTTAAACAAGGTGGTAGTTTTAAACAGGTTTAAAACAAAAAAGCTTTGTGAATGGACTCTACACCATAACACACCAATTCTCTTCCCATCTCAACTGATGTCATATGAAAAAATATTCTTTCAAAGAGAACAGACAGCTTTATAATCCACTATCATCCCTGAATTAACAACTTAGTTTTAATGGATACTAGGATGGGCATGACTTTGTTTAGTCAAAAGCATAGATCTGGACTACTAAGATTATCATCACCAATGCTGCTAACAATCAACACAGGAAACCGACATTCCAGAACCTGCTGGTTCATTGCACTGGCAGGCACTCCCAGTTCTTTCTCCTACAGCCTCTAGAATACCAGGATCATATTTCCTGTCCTCCTAAGACATTCAAACACAATATGTTTTCAGCAGCTGAAGCATTTTTGTATGTTTTAAATTCTCTAAATGTGTTAAGTTGGGCAACCCATTCCGGACCCCTCCTATTTTTCAGGAGCTATTCCTATTCCCCAATAAATTTTCTTCCTCCATTTTTTTTTTAATCATCCTTGTATTTTTCTCTATTTGATGGTCACTAGGAAACAAGCACTCCCAGGAAGGAAGGCACAGATCTATTTTTATGCCAGCACTATACTGTTTTTTTTTTTTTGAACCGGGGATCGAACTTGGGTCCTTGCACTTGGGCAGCAGGCAGCAAAACCACTGAGCTAAATCCCCGGCCCATCTAGTCCATATCTAAGAGTTGCCGAAGTCCTAATAGTTTCAGCATAAAGTCTAAAGTCTCTTCTGAGATTTAAGGCAAAATCTTAGTCCCCTGTACAAATGAAAAGAAAGTGAAACACTTCCAACACTCAATGGTACAAGATAGACATTCCCATTCCAAAAGTCGCAAACAGAAGGATACAAAGGAATGGAACCAAAGCAAGACCAAAATCTGGCAGGGCAAACATTAAATCCCACAATTCCACCTCCAGCACCCCTGGAGATCTCTGGCAAGTTGTAAACTCCAAAGGGCTTGGGTGGCTCCACCCCTATGGCACTTCTGGTGGTTGGACCTCCCACGGCTTCTCTCTGGGGCTAGTTCTGCTTCCTCCTTGCAGCTTTCCTCAGACCATCCATGCTTCTGGCTTCTCCAAACTTCTGGCATCTCCACTGAACCTTTGGCTTCACAGTCACAGCTTCACACACTGCCCTCCCAGGCCTTTTTCTGAAATCTGGGTGAAAGCCTTCCTGACCACACAACTCTTACATTCTGCATGTGCCTAAAATCAACACCATGTGGATGATGCTAAGGTCTGCTGCCAGCTGGAGCAGTAATCTTCCCGCTCTCTTGGCTGTAGGGCTCAAGTACTTGGATGGCTGAGCACTCTGAATCCAATTCTGAGGAACAAATTCTCTAGGCTGTTGCCACCATTCTGGAACATGGTGTTCTGGGGCTTTCTTCTGAGGAAATTCTTTCACTTTTGAAATTTTGAAGCTTGCAATGCCCTCAGGCCGTCTTTTCTATCCTGTTCCTTCTCAGCAATCAAGATCTCCTCTGCTCTATCTCTGCAGGCCGAAACTTCACTGGAGTTCCTTTCTGACCAAACTCAAAACATTTTGAATCATTCTGTTGGGCTCTCTGCCCTTGATTCTCAACATAAATCTGGCTAAAAGCCCCCAAGAGTAGCCATGCCACTGCCTCAACATTAGTCTGCCTTGAAATTTCTTCTGCCAGATTAATTAGTCCACCGGCCTTAATCTCAGTCTCAGGCAGACTTTGAACATGAGCAAAATGCAGACAAACTTTCTGCCAAGACATAACACACATAATCTGAAGTCCAGCAGCCAATGCAGCCTTCTTCTCAGCAGAAATCTCCTGAGCCTGGTCTTTACTGGCTTTCTGGTCTCCTGGACTCTGACTAGAATCTCCCATACAGAACAGCCTAAGGTGTTCCAGCTCTATTTCTTCTTTTTTTTTTTTTTTTCCCCAGCTGTACTTCTTCAGCCAGCATCTCGAAATACTTCCTAACTTTTCCCCTTCTCACAAGCCAGTTCCAAGGACTCTTGAGCCACATGGCCAGGCAACGTCATAGCAACAACCCCACTTCTCTGGTACCAAATTTCTATTAGTTTTCTCATTGTTGAGACAAAATACCTGATACCCAAAGTTAAAGGGAGAAAGGTTTATTTGGCTTAGAGTTCATAGAAGTTTCAGTCCATAATCAGCTAGCTCCAAGGCAGGGTGCCAGAAGGGCAACAGTTCATGGCTCCAGAAGACAACAAAAACGAGAAAAATTTTCTACTCTTAACCTCCATTGCTCCTTTGGGGAACACAAACTCAGTGTATTTGACATCTAGCAGGTTGGGAGTAACATATTTTTCCCCCATCTCATTTTGGAGGCTCTACCAGGACAATTGGAAAGAAGTGTTTGCTTTTGTCTCATAGATTCTGGATTGTGACTCATTTAGGTAATCAGAAATTGTCATTCTTTTTTGCTAGTTGCTTATGCCTTGTCTTTTATGCTTGTCTTTTTTTTTTTTGTACCGGGGATCGAACTCAGGTTCTTGTGCTTGCACAGCAGGCAGCGAAACCACTGAGCTAAATCCCGGGTCCTATGCTTGTCTTTTTATGCCCTGCTTTTTGTCAAATGATGGTAAATTTAAGTTGATAACATGGGAAGAATGTTTCTTTGATGGGAAATTTTATTTTTGCAAGCAGGGTTCTATGTCCCTGTTTAGTGCATGGATTTACTAGTTGCTGAATTTACTGGTATTCCTAGCTTGACCAGTTTTTACTTGTTTAGCTGATATGGTTATTGTCTTATCTCAGACAAGCGGGACAGGAAAAAGTAATATTAGAACGTCCCCTAGTGGACTCTGATACTAACCAAAACGTGAATTTGTAAAATTATTTATTTATTTATTTTGTACCAGGGATCAAACTTAGGACCTTGGTCTTTCGAGGAAGGTGGCAGCACCACTGAGCTAAATCCCTGGCCCTTTTAATGTTTTTTAAAAAATAAAATCTAGTTTATGATATATAAATGCCTCATACAAATTTGAGATTCCCTCAGCCAGTTATTTGTGACAGGCTGCAGACCTTAAATCTGGGAGGACAAGATTCATTGAGATAGTCTGGCCTGATCCCCACTCCATGCTCGTGGAGGGGGATGTCAAGCCTGCTCTGTCTCAGTTTCCTTTCTGGCCTGATCTTCTGCTGGTGAGGAGGCAATCTTAGTTCTTTTGATTCCCCATTCTTGCCTGTCTAGGGTGAGAGTGACGACTCATGAGCAAGTTGTCTTTTTTTTTTTTTTTTTTTGGTACTGGGGATCGAACTCAGGACCTTGTGCTTAAGGCAGGTGCGGTGCCACTGAGCCAAATCACCGAGCCCTAATCTTAGCTCTCGAGATGCTCCATTCTTGCCTCCAAGCTGAGAGTGATGACTCATACCTGGGCAAATTATCTAACTCATCATGAGCATCTGAAGAGAAGACTTTCCTCTAATCTCATTTCTGATCTTTTTCTGTCACTTTGCACTTCTCTTTTTTTTTTTTTGGAGGTGTGTTTCTTCTAAAGATTAGAGAGAGAGACTCTGAAAAGGTTTCAGTTCCAATCTGTCTCAGCCTTTCCCTTCTATCCAACAACTAAGAACTTTCAAGTTGAGCCCATAGAAAATGAGCATTTGTTAACACCGAAGACAGGAAAGTCATCTTTGATGAGGAATACATACCCCACCTCTGGGTCAGACGAGATATCAGAGTTTTGCCTGTCCATAAGAACACACATGAAGGTGATGT